AAGAGTGACTGTGAAATCACAATTTATTTTGTGCTGTACCGCTGAAAATACAAACGTGAATTAGCTAGCCAAATTATTTAGTTAAATCAGTTGCACAACTTGCCAAGTGCAAAAATGGCACCAAAAGTAGTCTGCTTGTCTAAGACTGGTGGTGCCTCCTGGATTAAATGAAGCAAGGAGGAGGTAAAATGTAATTAACCCATCCACCTCTGGCTGTTGACAAAGACACCAGCAGTAAGTCTGGAGGGGAGAGAAACCCCCACCTGTACCAAGAATCAGAATGTGGCTCTGTCAGCTGAACATTGAGAAAGACTGAGGACCAAATAGGCTGACAAAATAACAAACACACACAGAGCTGTTGCCCTGCCCTCTATTAGGGAACACAATGAGTGCGTAAGGGGATCTTAATGAAGGACTCCCTGGGGCAAAGCCTGACGCCTCTGCTGAGGATGTGTCCTGTTAAATGAACATGGGTACTACTGCTGACATGGTGCGAGGGGGTGTGTGTGGTGTTCAGTTACAGTGCCGCATTTAGCAGTTTATGTCATGCAGTGCACATGCCACTTCGCACCACCTTATCGAGTGTGCACATCCAAGTTGTTCCGATTGTGTATATGAAGAGAAGTCATTACACAATCAGACTTTACATGGACAGGGGGTGGGTTTCAGGTGTGTCTGTGGCATTTTGTTAGTCCTGTGTATTTTTCCACTATCAATATCACACAGGACAAATGTGAGACATGAGAAAACCAAAAACAGAAATGAGGACAAAGTCTGAACAAAAATGAGACAGAAACTAGTAGTGATGTATGCACCTTGATGTAGCAGTGCCCTCTTGAGGAAGAAAGTGGAAGTACTTCAACTAAAGCCTCACCCTTCTAACCAAACAGAGAAGCCCAAAGTCTGAGGTGGGAGCTCACAGCTGTCATTCAACATGTGAACGCGTTTCGGGTCCATTACTCCCCTTACACCGAAGCTTCAGGCTAGTATTAGCTGCTGGAAAGATGTCACTATGGCTGAGTCACAGGCTAGCCAGCCCCTGATGAAACGGCATACATGGCAGAGATGTAGGTGAAGGGTTGGGTGGAGTGTAAAGGAGCAGGGACAAGGAGGAGTGATGTGGCTTACCCCCTGAGCACCTAGCACTAGCTTGATTTACAGACCTTTCATATTGTAGGTTTGTATGCACTGAAACTACCTTTCTAAATGTAAATGGGCTTGGACGCGTTCACTCTGACGTGGAGAAGCTGAGTATCAAAACGCCAGCCCTATGGTTATGGGACAACCCATAGAGGTGTGCAGCATTCATAATGGCTACAGGGTCATTAATGTGTATATTTGAATGATTGCTTGACTCACCTCTCTACCCTTGTGTGTGACCAGTGCTGCGAGTGGCTTGGCATAGAAGCGACTGTAGCTGAATCCCAGGCAGCCATACATACTGTTAGCAGTCAGCTTCAGAGCCTTCTGACGGATGTCGTACTGAAGGATGGACAGACTCAAATTAGGCCAAACGGGACCAAGACTTTCATGTTAACCTGATAAATCCTAGGTTGTGGGAATTTGACAGGTACAAAATTGTCTCAGTTGTAATCAAAACATTCACTTTTTTTGAATACATTTGTGGTAAAAAGTCTTTATGTAGACTCCTTTCAAAATAAAACAAGTTTCTGTAAATACTTAGACACCATGAAAACATGTCATGACCAAAATTATAGTGACAAATTCAACAACCTTGGGATTGCTACACAGTATGTACACCCTTTGTCTGGTATGTGCAAGTAAGTGAACTGTGAGTGTGTATACCTGCAGGTAGAGATCGGGGTTGAGGTCTTGCTGTTTCATCAGCTGTTTGACCTGTCTTCGCCGCTCAACCAGCTTCCTGATTTCCTTGGGCAGGATTCCCATTTCCAGGTTGGAATCTGGAATCTCTGGAATCTCCTCTGGCTCATCCTCCTGTTACCATGGAAATGAATTAGAAATGAGCAGGAACCTTTGTCACTCTGGGGACCTGGATCTTGAGTAGTTTACAGGAGTGTGATGTTCACACCCAGTTTTAGCCTAACACATGGACAAACTATGAACACACCTCAGTCTTCTTCTGTGTGGTGTGAGCTTCCCTCTGCACAGTGGTGAAGCAGATGTTGAACTCCTGGATGATTGATGGATACAGACTGTTGAAGTCAAGCAGCAAAATAAACTTATCGTAGAAACCTGTTGAAAGACAGAGGGAGGGTATAAAAATGTGCACACAGCCATGCTAAAAAATAAAGGTACAGAAAGAAAATAAGAAAGAGCTTGGAGATGGATTAGGATGATGGCAGAGGTCCTACTCTGCTGTCAAATTACTAAACTCTGACTCCGCTGTGTTTTAAATCATGTAAGATTTTGAATGTCCCTCTTCTAAAGTGAATGGTGTTTAAATGGTGGTAGTTATGAAGTCGCAGCCGAGCCTGAAATTAGATACACAGGGTTAAGTTAAGCGTAGGGAACGTTACTCAGCTAAATGAGCTATGTTTAAAACACTACTGTTACTTTATTAGGAAAGTTGAACATGCTCCTTCCATTCCGAATCATCCAGTTGATGTCTCAGGTCTGCAACATCAGGTTCCTCTGTCCCATTCAGGATCAGACTCTAGTTCCCATATCTCTAGACAGTGTCTTGTTTGCAGCTACAGCCATTTATGCAAGGCACCACAGAAGTGCTTGCATTATTCAGTAGATCCTGTTATGATTGACTGGGGAGGGAGATGAAATAACACCTCCAGCCAATCAGAGTAGGTGCTCATGAATAATATAAATATCCGTTAACTTTCAAAACAGCCTGTTAGAGGACATATGGGAATCCGGATTGTTTGCAAAGATGCCAATCTAAACAACTCAGGGTGAATGTCTTTAAACTAAAAATTAATACTTACCAACTTTAGGATCCAGCACTAAACCTCCAGCATAGGCTGCCTTCTTCTTGCGCTTGCCTTTCCCTGCATCCAAGTCTTCTTCCCCATCAATCTGGGACACAGCAACAAAGAGCAAAAGAGCAGCAAACAATAACTATATGACTGCACAATAGGAAAAAAGGGGGCTATGTTCAGTGTGTGTGTGTGTACCATCTCGAGCTGGGCTTTTCTGAAGGAGGGCTTGTCAGGGACGATGTAGTTTTTGTCATGGAAGGCATGAAGCAACAGAAACTCATTCCTTTCAGAGCGACCGCCCATCAGAGTACGGGACTGCAGACAAGGAGCAGGAAGAAATCGGGTGAGCAGAAGGCAAATGACTAACAAAAGGCAAAGACTTGACTCTTACTTGAATAAGTCAATATAGACTCTTGAAATCCTGAGCATTTTCTTGCATTTCCACCATTTCTCAGTAAACATTATATAGCTGTAATAAATGTTACTCTTATGGAGACGCTACTTGTGGTCCAGCTTGGAGTGCAAGATACTGTATGTAAAACGTCGTCTTTGTGGAAAATGACTCCTTACGACGTGCACAAAAAGTACATTTAAAGTAATGTAGATGACACCTGGCTACAACAGCTGCATTGAGTCATGACAGTCAGTAAACCAGCATGACTAATTACAGTCTACGTGGACCCACCACACTTTACAGGACTGTCATGACTGTCGGGGTGCTAATGCTAGCCAGCAGCTGTCTGCAGATATGCAGATATCCGGCTGATGTCAACATAAACAGTACAAATTAATCAGTGTGGTCTGTGCTCAAACTGATCATTAAAGTGGAGTCTGGACTTAGCTGAAGCATCTGTTACGGTATGTAGCTGTGTGGGACAGCATTTTTTTAAATATGCATAATGACACCACCTTTGTTAGAGGTGCAGGGTTTTTATTTTTCCTTCCCAGTTGTTTTGCACATGTGCCTAAACATTAGGGTTGGCTGATACTGGTGCTAAAACAATACTTTTAAAATGGTGCCGGTGCCTTAATGGTACTGGAGCAGATACTTTAAAAAAAAAAAAAAAAAAAGAAGCATAAAACCAGACCATAAATTTCATAATTTGAAGGGTAAGGCCGTTTGGCCTTTGATTTCATACATTTTCAGAGGGTACAAAGGCCACTTGACTGGGCACTAAGGCCGAGACAAATGGCACGATGCGTATGTGCATGTAGCTTACATGTATACAAGCATGAGCAGTAAAGTTACAGAAGTGGCTCCACCTCAAAGCGGGCGAAGAAGAGGTTCAACTCCTCCGCGATGCGTATGTGCATGTAGCTTACATGTATACAAGCATGAGCAGTAAAGTTACAGACTAGAGTAAAGCGCAATGCTTGTAGAGTGGTTAAAGAGAAATATTCAGAGATATTATGGTAACCGTGCACCCTTATTATAATTTGGATAGCAAATGGTGTCATCTGTGCACATTTAGACTCCAAGGCAAACTGGCTAAGATGCCAAGGCAACGACAGCCATGACCGTCGTGAAATTTATACCTTGCATAAAACAAAGGTTGACGACATTACAAACAGATTCCCACTCATTCCTAGCTCAGACTTCTGAGCTCCCAGGTATATGAAACACAGCATAAGCGTTAGCACTTGACATGCAGTTATTTTCCATTTCACAGCAGCAGAGGGCAAATATTTTAATCAACATGCATTTAAGTGGCACCGAAATCTGTACTGTGATTTGGTAGATACCGATCATATAGGACCCGGTGCCATACCAGCACTTGGTTTCAGTACCCATCCCTACTAACACTGTCAATGAAAATGAATCATTGGTCCATAGCATTACAACCAAGAAATGGCTGCATGACAGTTTAATATTTAAAAAAAGAAACCAGTGTTTTACCATGACGTTGCCGGCAATGTTGGTGATCTGCAGGGCCAGGGGCAACACATTGAGCTCACACATTATCTGGAGGATCAGCTTGGCATCTGTCCATGTCAACTCCAACATGCAGAGCAGGTTAGTAGAGTCACTGGAAGGAAACAGGGCGTTTTCACCAACAACAGGGGAGTTTTTTTTCTATATGCACACTATGTAATCCATTGTGTGTTTCCCGATTTTGTGAACTGTCCCTTTCCATTTATTCACCTATAGAGATTTTTGATGTCTTCCTGAGGGACTGTGACTCTCTCCATCTTCAGCACCTGTGTAGCCAGTTCAGTCAGACTGTAACTTTTGCAGCGGATCAACTCCTTGGCTGAGATCTCCACATCACACACGAGGCGGCCACAGGTTGCACTCTTCTCTGCAAAGGCACCGCGACCCTGTAATAATGCAAGGCACGAACACATAAAAACCAAAACACATACTACATAAAAAATGTTTAGTGATGTGCAATATCATTTAGAAAAAAAAAAACAAAAACAAACTTTCACTCCATACAATTATTGTTTTACTTACCCCTAATTTGGGCATGTTGGCCCTCCTGAGGCGTCCAATCTTAGACCAGTGTGGAACCTTGCACGTGTTGATCCGCTGCAGAAGCACTTCCAGATCAAAACCAAAGATGTCATGACCCTATAGAAAATAAAAGATACAAGCGCAGGATGCTGATTTTTATCCTGATGAAAACATTTCACCTTCATGTCTGCGATCTGTAAATCCTACAGTCTTATATAGGAATGTTACTCAACTTAGAATATCACATACAATTATTCATTCCCAATATCTACTACTCACCACTAGCACATCTGGGTCAATCTTGTGCATCTTGGCCAAGAAGAAGCCGAGCAGAGTCCGCTCTGTAGCAGCAATCTCCACCTTCCCATTCTTACAGAGGGAGGCAGTCACATCATCAATATTTTGCTCACACATACACTGTGGGGAGGTGTCCTACTTAAAATCTGTCCCCTCTTCTACAACAGTTCTAGTAAAGTATGCAAAAAGAAATAAAAAATAAAACTAAGATCTTTCTGAAAATATCAAAACCAAGTTGTTTCTCCTGAGAAAAATTCTTGCACAGAGGCAGGAGCACTGACACTTAAGCTGCACAGACTTTATTGAATTTGCTTGTTCTCACCTCCCAACAGTTTGGAGCACATTAACTGCACAACACAAAGTTCTTCCTGTTCCTCTGCAAATGTCTGGTACAAATATCATGAGCTCACTCACCTTCTTTCTCACGGCGTCTTGGAAGTCATATGGGAAGATACAGTCAGCTGGTTTACTGACCACTGAAAAGACAAAGAACATAATAACCATTCCCACACTTTCCTATATTCATTATCAGTTTTCAGACTTTCATTTGTTAACTAAGCTTTAAAATTCCGACTAGTATTCAACATGTTCATAGGGGATGAAAGTTACTCTACAGGACAGAATGTGAAACTGACCTCTGTAACACGTGTGTGAAGAATTATATTTCTTTATATTTTATTTAACTGTAAATAATTTAAAAAGCAAAAACAGGAAAAAAAAAAAACTGCTTACCACAGAAGTGGTTTTGGTATGGAGGTTGAGGTGGAGCTTTATCCACAGGGAACTGGAAGTGGATGAGTGCAGCCAGGGACACAATCTGCAGAGGAACAATTATATCATCAGGTTCTTACTCACAAAACTTTTCAGTCTGTATGAGCACACCATAAAATAACACAGCTAAATAATAAGGCATCCTCAGTACATCACTGTGGAAAATGTCTTGCCTCGTTGTGATGGGTCTTGGGGTTCTGGACAGTCTTGAGGCTGATGGACATGACGCTGAGAGGTGGAGGGGGCAGATCCTTGACCACAGTGACCAGGTCCATCCTCAGGGCCAGAGCCTCCACCTTACACCAGCTGACTGCCTGGCTGATCAGCTCTAACAAAGACACAGTGGACACACAGTTAAAAAAATAAAAACATATGGTTTAACTTTTTTTCATTTATTCAGAGGGAATGTTTCTCTGTATGCTGACCTGTAAGAGCTTGTTCTTCTTATATGAAAATGAAAGTAAACTAAATACAGGGCTTCATTAGTTATACATAACCCAGAATCTCTCCTTACGTGGGGTCTGGATGTCCAGCCAGCACGGCCCTCCTGCTGAGGAGAAAGTGCTCCAGACTTGAAGTGTTGGTTCCAAAAATGTGAGAGAAGGTCACCCCCTTAAGATCAGACGGCAGCGCAGGGAATTCAGCCTGCAGAAACAATGGAAAACAGACAAATGTGTTTTCAACAAAACACAATGTCCAGGCCTGGACAATGTGGGCACGGTGCATAGTGAGTTTCTACTCACAGAATATCTGACTTCCAGATACTCGCACTGACTGGGCACGTCAGGAATCTCAAAAGCATAGTTTTTCTCCACTTTCTGCAGAGGGAAATGGAAACAGACACCAGTTAAGAACATTTCAGACATGTTACCTTTAGAAAAATCACAACCATGCTATACAGTCTAGCTAAGGTTGGCACTGACCTTGGACTTGAACTTCATGATCCTGAACTTCTCAGAGAGCTCGCTGAACTCTTGGTAGACGTCCATAATTCCTACAGGAGTGTCTGACACCTCTCCAGTCTTGGGGTTGACTTTCTGTTAATTAAATTACAAATAAACACTTAATAGGAGCCATAAAAAGGCCAAGTATTACATGATTACATGCATACAGAGGTGATACGACTTTTAGGAGTGCAGAATATCTCGTTTTTTCCTACACCTTTATATGTAAAGGCTTTTATACATAAAACTTGAGTATGCTGCATAAAATATCTTGCAAAAAAATTTCACTGATTTACACAAATGCATTATGTTTTTAGAATTCATCAAAAATAAAACTTGATTTTAGTTGTTTTTTTAAACTGGGGAATGGCACAAGTTTAATAAAGAAAACTATTTTTTAAATCATGTTTTGTTGTGAGTTCATGTAGACTAAATATAAACACCTCCCAGCCCTATTTCAAACTGTGTCAATCAAGTGTTAATTTTTTGCAATGAAAAATTAAGAGCAGACTGATAATCATGAGACTCCACACAGTAATAAGAGCAAACATTTTTATACTACGAGTGACGATTCGCCATGCTCAAGAAAGAAAAGGTTTCCGATCCCATTTTACTTGCTCAAAATAGAAAATCTGCCCCGATTATAGAAACACATGCCAGAACAAAGACTTACATATTCGTGAGGTAGGAAGTACATAGTCCGCTCAATGTTCCTGACAGTAACGCAGCAGCTGACATAAGACTTTGCAGAGTCAATCCACACTTTTCCAAACAGGTACACCACACCTGGGCCACAATTAAATTAAAATGTCATAAAGTTTGAACAGGGCCTTGGGGTTATGATTTTACATAAATAGTATTCGCCATCGTTTTGAGCTCTAGGTGTCACAATGACTTACCTGGTTGGTTATAAGGGTCTTCAAAAGCATCCAACCAATAGAATCTGAAAACCTGCTCTCCGTCTGCCCCCTCCACCAGTGGGAGTTGGCTGGAATCCACCTGTACCTCTGCTGGAGTCTCACTGACTTCACCTGTCTCCTCTTGTCCCCAAGAGCTTCCGATCCAACTGGACCTGGAGGGAACAAAGGGAAAAAAAAATACACTAATGTTCAAGCTCGTTTGTGCAGCATTTCCAGGCTAGCACAAAGTCTAATGAGCTCTGCCTATGAAAATGAGTTGAATTCTTGTGGACATCGAGGCTGAGAATGAGAAGCTCCAACTCAGAGTGTGTCCAACAGAGACGACAGGATGAAGCCACAGACTGTAGTCAGTTTCAAGTAAAGTATGGGTGGATCCCTAATGTATATTCTTAAAAAGCAATAGTAAACTAAAGAGACTCACAAGACGACAGCATCCTGAGGCTTTGCTTTGGGCTCCATTGTAAGCACTGGTGCGGCTTTAGATTCAGGCTCAGCAGCCTCTGCAACTGTAGTCTTCTCCTCTAGCCCAACCTCCATCGGCTCATCAAAGTCCACCCCATCATACACCGCATTATCCACTGAGAAGACAGTATTATAAAGCTAAGTGTGTATATTCTTTTTTTCTAGAAGAGACCTGACACATGTTCAGAATTGCATATGGCTTCCTTACCCTCCTCTTCATCCAGCTCGTCCACTTCTTCCTTCTTCTTCTCCTTGGGAACCGCAGGTGTGGAGGGAGGAGGGCAGGGTGGGTCCAAAGGTGGTGGCTTGATAACTCTGGCCTTCAACCCTGTTGCTGAGGGTGACTCCTGGAACGATGTACTTTACAATCAGCCCATTTACAACGTGACAAAACAACTTTCAAAGGCAACAGTATAAAGTTAGGATGAGTTTAAGAATACCTTTGGCACCGGAGCTTTAACAGAAAAAGGATTCATAGGTGATCCAAGAGACTTCTTTTTCTTCAGAGTAACCACTGGCGGAGGAGCCAGAAAGGGCAGTTTCTGGGAAGAGAGATGGAAATGGATTTTAAAAACAAATATCACAGCACATCAGATAATATAATAAAGAGGATAGGGATGAATAAAAAAGAAAGGCCGAGCCTCAACACTGAGTACAAACAGAGCCAAAACCAATATTCAGTGACTAACATATCTAAAGTTGAATGTTAAATTCTTGCTTAAACACTTCATCATTGTTCAGAACACAACCTTCTTACTCATTACGCAGTCAATTCAGAAAATATTCAGATGCCTTCACTTTTTGCATTAAAAATTATTTTTACATGAATAAAATTACCATTGGATCAGTGATCACCTCCCTGTGCAAGACCCTTCCTGTTTGGTTTGGTCTGACGGCCAACTCGAGGAAGAGCCCTGCTGCCTTCAAACGTTTTCCATTTCACAATTACTGAGGCCACTTGTGCTCCTGGGAACAGGTTTTATACACTGGTCCTGATCTGTGCCTGAGCACAGCTTTATTACAAAGGCCTACAGATAGTTCTTGAATTTTGTCCTGACATACAGCGTGAACTGTGGGACTTTATAGACCGTGTGCGTCATTCTAAACAATATCCAATCAATTCAATTTGTCACGGGTGGACTCCAGTCAAGCCGTAAACACATCTAAAAGGAAAATACTTTTGTAAATCAGATATTTCAGTTTTTGATTTTTAGCACAATTGCAAAAACAAAAGAAATCTAAATTCATCTTTTCATTTTGTCTTCTCAGGCTGCTGAGAGTAGACTGATGGGCAAAATGGTAAATTTATCAATTTAAAATAAAATACAACACATTAAAGTGTGCAAAAAGTGAAGTGGTGTGAATAATTTGTGTTGATGTGCAGGAACCATTTGATTAATTATGGCACCAGAGCAACTCTATAGATAAAACCTAAAGCAGTACTTGTAGTAGTAGTTTATTCATGTTGAAGTCCTGCATTATACATGGTATGGTACCAACCTCTGAGTGCAAATCCTGCAGGATATCTCCTAATAGGTCATCTTTGGACAGGTCCACATCTTTCTGCATGAGAAAAATTAAACCACTTCATGAGCAATATAGGAGCAAGGACGAGAAAAGGCTTGCATCTTCTGATATTTCAAATTCAGTTACAGAATAGCAACATGTTAGTGCTTTTTTTTCACCCATTGAAAAATGTCATGAAGTACATGCAGATAATGAAACAACATCTAAAAAGAAAGTGCTGCAAATAAATGTTCAGAATATCAGACATGCACAGGACGCTCTTAGGGAAAAGCAAACACACAAGCAAGTCAATGATACTAACAAAAACACACCTCAGCAGGCCTCTTGACATTACTGTTCATGAATAGGCTCTTAATGGTGTTGGGCCTGGCTATGACAGGTTTCTTCACATTTTTTTTGGAGTTGGCTCCTTTAGCATTTGCTTTTCCTGCAAACAAAACAGAATGATCACACATTTGAACTGTCCATTGTTCCACTCTCTCGTTGACAATAATTCATAAACTGTTGGTGTTTACCCTTGTTGTTCTCTACTACATCATCATCCAAGTCGTCATCAAAGATTTCTCTCCCATCCTCCACATATCCTATTCCATCTGAGAGGAGAGCATCACATCAGACAACCCAATCGCACATAATACTGAAGTGGATATAGCACAGTGCAACTCACCATCATCAATAATCCAGTCATCTTCTTGTCTCTCTCGTACTATCTTTGAGTACTGCTCCTCATCCACCTCCTCATACACACTGGTGAACTCCTCCACCTGGAAAACAAGAACAGTGGTTGACCTTTACCTATAATAGGAGCCTCCTCATCCTCAAACATCTTGAAAGACCTTGAACTGAGCAAGTTAATGTGGACATCTCAGGATTAGAGGAGTGAAATCTTTATTTTGTACACAATAAGGCACACAATGCATCAATAAGTAGAATCCAATAACATAATATACATTCACATGAAATGCAAGATTCTGCATGACTACGTTTACTTTTTGTACTTTAAGTAGGGGTTATACCTTTATGCCAATACCTCTGTGCTTTCACATTAGTAGGGCTGGGCACTACTAAACAAACATGACACACTAGTTAACTACCTAAGACATGTGTGAAGCATTGAACTTCTGCACTGTACAAGCATGCCCTGACCGAGCCTCCCTTACTTCATATTTGATCTTCTCCCCCATCTTGGCTTTCTTGAGCTGCTCCAGTGCATTCTTCCTCCCCACCTTTTCCTTCTTCTCCCGTTTAGAGCGGGTTTTCGCCAAACCATAGGTATTATCTGAGGAGAGGTACATATGGACATGACAACCCGGACACTGGCAGGTTCAGCTTGTAGATGCTACGCCATGCAAACAAGTTACTTCATTAACTGTCAGATCTGCAGTGCATTTCGTGCACTAACGTTACTGTTTCTTTGAACATGAAGACTTGCTCATTCCTGATAATTGTTTAATAGCTATTTAAACTGATATGAGGCTCAGTTCACGAATATATCACAAGCCCCAGACAGCTGTGGTGGTCACTAAATCAGTTCAGATGTTAACAGACAAGCGCCCTGTTAGCCAGCATTTCCTCAGATAGTAACTGTTCTCCTCTCTTGAACCTTAACACCGAACTATTATAGTTTTAAAAAACTAACTTATTAGCTAGTAGACGAACTTCAATACATATGTAGCAATTACTAGAGTAATTGTGGTCCCAATTGTAGCATCGTTGACGTTATATTGAAGGTTGGCTAGCGAGTTATTCGATGTCCTTATGCAATTCCGCTAGACAGCTGGCAAGCGACGCATAATAAAACTCACCAACGTCCGGATCGTCCATGTCGTTTTATGAGTCTGATACCAAAATCACGGCTTTAAGTTCTTCCCGTTTTATGTATGCTTCTAATAGTTGTTTAACACAGCCACGGCGGCTCAGTACAACAACACTATCCGCGCCAATTCACCTTCCCGGGGAAAGTAATGTGCCGGAACTTACATCACAGCGCTGACAGCCAATAAAACAAGTTTTAAAACATTGTACTTGTCACGTGACCGGATAGAGGCAGCCGATTTGTCAGTACATCATACATCCATGCAGTACACCCATGAGCAGTAATGTGTAGCCTGTTAGCTTGTTAGCACGATGGCACTGTTGGTACAATGTAAAATAGTTTACTCCCGTAGAATCTAGAGACCAGACATGCGGTGTCTCTGCAGTAGGCCCTATGTGAGACAGGTCTTTTATTTCAGTTGTCTACATTACATTACATTTAATAAATCAATAGGACTACAATAGTCTACATTAAATGATTCAATAAAATCAACATTGCCATAAAACATAATCTAAAACCAGGCTAAAAAGGTCTGCATTTAAATATATTAATACTGTCGTTGTTTGTTGTTTGTTTGTTCTTTGTGTTTGTGTTTTTTGTATAGGCTATTTGGCTCTAATTAGCCCAACAAATGTAAGCTATAGCCTACCATATTATTTTACGTAAGCCTATAGAGCCATAGCCTACAGCTGGAAATAGCCAAATTAATATTTAATAGGCCTATAGTGTAATAATCCTTAATGCGGACAAGTCCGAGGTTCTAGAAAGTTCATGGTATTTGTACCATGGTGTCTTAACCTTATTCTCAATTTAGGAATCTTAGATTATGTTAGGATTAGGTCAGTAGTTTTTGTGCCCGTGAAACCCCATGAAGCTCATTTCCACAATGTCCATCTGGAGGACACAATAGATGTCTGTCTCAGATTGGGGACACAGAGCAATAAAAACACAAAGGAGGTTTTGTAAATGGTGTGTAGTGGTTTTATGGCCACGTTAAACTATAAGCCATCGATTAGATGTATTAATACAAATATCTTGAGCAAAGATGTCAACTAATAGCCTAGCAGACTACTTAAACTGCAGATTGAGATTGAGGTCCCCACCGCAGTACAACAGGAGGACAGTTAAGGTCTAGACTACTTCTGGAGCGTGACCCACAGTCGTGGCAGCTCATCAGTGGTGAGCAGCTGATCTGCCCTCCCCATAGGACAAACTGGACAGACGGGCTGTCATTGCTCTGCCCGTTCTGTTGGAGCAAAGAAACTCCTATAGTGGAGTCAACAGCCAGAAAAGCAATTGACAAACAGTCTAATATTCCTTCTTTTCATTCTTTGGTTTTGGGCACCATGATGAAGCAGAGACGCATCAGAGCACATTCCTGTTGCACACCTGTAGCGCCTCTTTGTTGCAGAAGAGGACCATTGAAGGTAAGCACACGCCTTTGCTCAAAGCATTAAGATGTCAGTTTATAAAGTGAGAGTGTGACAGCTAAACGATAGGCTACAGGGCTATTTTATTTTTATTTCAATGCAAGAGGAGGCTGTATGTAAACGCATTGCTTCCACTTAAGGTAGGTCTACCAGTGAAGTTTAAAGTTAAGCCCTGCAAGGTGTGTAGAACAAGACTTGCTTCTGCTATTTAGCCTAGTCTGATTATCACAGCATCATCATCATCATCATCATCAATCTGATTATCACAGCATCATCATCACCATAACAATAGGGTGAACAACATGAACACCTAGTTGTACAGTAACACAAACTACATCCTCATACAAGTGAATCAACGCCTCTCATGAAAGAGGATTTCTATCAGGACTGTAGCCTAAAGTGTACTCACTGATATATAGCCTTTACATTTTCTATAAGCGTCCAGCTGTGTGTAAATATAGCTCAACCTGGCCTATTGGCTACACCTTTATTGTCAGTGGTGAGTTCTACTCATGGACAGTTCTACTCAGTACCATCTTCCACTCATGGTGCTCCAATCCGCACTGTTTATACTGATGGGATGCTGTAGCTCTTTTGTGACTGGTCCTTTCCTGGAGCTCTCTCCTCTTTTTCCATCGTCATAGCGAGAGCTCATCAGCTCCGCCGAGACTCTGTGAACAACCAGAGATCGCCTATTGGTGCAAGGACTCATTCACATCTCACGAAATTGTGATTGACTAATAATGCACATGTAGTATATTAATGCACATTGCTTTGTTTGTCCCTGGTGGTTCAAAGACGTGTTATTAGCTCCTCTTCATTCAACCCACCAATCAATCAAGCATAATCTTTATTACCAAGTATGTTAAAATACAAAGAATTTGACTCCACTTCAATGGACCCCCGGTGTGCACCAAATAAAATAGAATAAAAACAGTATTAAAGACAGAGTAACAAGTAAAAAAAAAAAAAAGCAAGAAGATAAAACCAACAATCTTATGTATACATATATACAAGTTAAAAAGAGCTATTTGGTATGTACCGTGATTATGTCTATAATTTGTGATCTGTTTGGCAATCACAGGATCAATAGGCTATTCAGGTAGCCTACCCTTGGAGAGGAGCAAAATATTTAGAAATGTTATAGCAAACTGGCCTTTTTAGGCTCAAGTGAGTTTTTTAAAGACATCTTAAATATACTTCGGGCAAATTTGGTACCATAAAATAGCTGCAGAGTGAGACCTCTTCACTGCATCATTTTCTCTGCAGCAGGGGCTCAGCAAGGAGGAGGAGGACAGGGGAGGACAGCTGGGTGGGGGAACAGAGGAAGAGAAAGAGAGAGTGCTTAGGAGGGAGGCATCATCTCACTGATGCTGAGTCGCATAACTGAGGGACCACAGTCGCATCCCATGAGTCTCTGGGAATAATGGAGGAGCTTGAACATACGTGCCCGCATCCCCGGACGGTAGAGCATTTGTGTTTGTATTTTTCCTGTGTATTGATGTCTTGTGTGTAGGGTGTACAGGGAGAGGGAGACAAAGAGTCCTGCCTGCTCCCTTGTTATGAAACAGATACCCTATAGCATGTGGCTGCAGAAGATGCTCAGAATGCTGAGTGGACAGTGTGTGTCTGAGTGTGTGTGCGCTAACAAAGAAGGACAGTGGACAACATATGCTGGTGATAGGACAGGCAGCCTTGTGTGTTTACATACTTTGCTTCATTTCTATCTTTGGTGTAATTCCTCATTCATTATTCAAAACTCTCCATCTTTGCCTTTTCCCTCTACCTTGTCTCTGTCATACCAACCTCTCACTGTTTCTTATGAGACAGTCTCATTGTTGCTGCTGTAGTTTCTCCTTGGGTGGCTTCTCTTTCTCTCTCTCTCTTTTCCATTTTAATCCTTCTAATGCCAGATGTTCTTTGGCTTGTGCCAGAGTGGGCTTTACTGAGCATGCTCACGGTGTGTGTCCTAATAGGTCCGTCTGCTCCTGGTTACTAGTTTAAGCTTTACCACCTGCCTTGTGATAAATGTTTGTAATCTACTTCTCACCAGAGTGATGTGGGTGATGGGAATTCTCTCTCTGTACGTTGTTGCTTTGGTTGTTGTTTTGTTGCAGCTCAGCTTAATTCGGACACAGGGCAGTTTTTGAGAAGTTGAATGCTAGCTGACAAAATACATAAAGCCTTAAAAAAACCAAAAGAAATATGCAAGTAAAAAGTATGCTGTGTTTTGCTGAATGTGTAAAAGGAATAAGTACCTTTTCTTTTATTATTTCTTTTCTTCAGACTATATTTAAAGCCAGTATATAGAAAAGTGTGGTTGTAGCAACCCTTTCCTTTGCCACAAACTGGGCATGCTCATTTGGTGAAAGTGACAAAAGACAGAATAAATTGTAGTCATTACTGAAATTACCTTCTCCTGAAGATGTAGTCCCAATGAAAACAGGTAAATAAGGTAAATAGACACTGTTTCTGGAAGAAATCATGTTGCTGCAAAAACTTTTGAAATGCAAATTTTAAGATCACAAACCAGATTCTACTCACTTCCATTAATTTAGACAAATCACGGTTTTTGCAAATAAAAGCAAAACTAAGTGCATGACCTGCTGTTATCCGAAACACTGTTTAAGTATGATCTCTTTCTTCTAGCTTTGAGTTAGAGCTTAATTTCATTACAAATTCAGTCTCACTCTCCAAACCTGCACTGCTACTCACAACCAGGTTGCTGCTGTGTCCCTGTGTGTGTTCATGGAGGTTGTTGTCATGCAGAGACTCTGGGCTTGTTGCTGTTCCTATAGCGGATGTGTTGACATCAGTTGCTTGTCGTGTCCACAGAGTCTGAATCTGTTTCCATATTTTCATCCTCCTCTCACACTCCCACAGCTTTCTGCTCTGCACTGACTCAGATTCTCTTTTCCTGGTGTGAATGAGATTCAGCGAGTCCTGCAGTCAACAGATGGGACACGGATACAAAGACACTGCAACGCTTTAACCCTGATGTCACTTAAAGTGCTATGTCCCTTTCTTGTCCTATTGTCTATTATCATTTTTATCTGCTTAATTTATATTTGTTTATGTGAAAATATGGTTTTCTTTCTGTCTAGTTCACCAAAGAAGTCACCTACATTTCCATTTTATTAAATTCCTCTGTTCGTGTTTTCTGCCACATGGACATATATACACACACTGCTACATACAGAAGACTAAGTGTCATGCACAGAGTGATCAATAAAACCGAGTACTGCCCTGTCTGTCCCTCAATCCATTGTCCCAATATAGAGCAGGCATCAGCTGTGGTCAATAACTTAATGGATGTTACTGTAATTGAACTGAGCCTGAAAAAGGAGACACTGTGCGCTGCTGAATAGAATAGAATAGATGTGGGTAAGGGTAGACATGTTTTCTTAACGATGTGTTTTAAAACCTTTCTCTTTCATCATTCATTCATTTGCTTGTGCAGTATTTTAGCAAATGTATAGTTCAGCCTCTTTCACTGTCTCTTTGTCTCAGGCTCTGACCGAGCCTGCCATCTTTGCCAGGGAGACCAGCTGTGATTGTTGCGCCCCTCATGAGAAACTCACTGTCGCTCAGGCACGCAGAGGCACCCCAGGTACACCCCCATTTGTCTGTTTTCTCCTTTTCTTCCCACAGCTTTCATGTTTATCTGCACCACATTATTCAAGCCTTCCTTTTCTAACTACATTTGCTACTTATGTTACTGTTATAATTGCTTCTGCTAGTATCAA